CAAATCTAATAAAGGAGAAAATGCTGTCATTATGTGTTCATCTTTTAGTGCAGAATTGCATTTCAACCAATGCGACTACTACTTTCTCAAGCTGATATATTAAAAACTTTAAAACCTACTGATACATTTATTTCTTAAATATGAAAGTTAAGCTCTCTCTGGAATGGCAGGCTGTTTAAAATTCCTGAATAACATCTGAAGAAATGTTCTGAAAGAAGTTAAAGAAAACAGTTAACGAACATAGCATTTAATTAAAAAAAAGGGGGAGAAGGTCAAAGTTTGTTTAGTAGATCTTTTTGCTTTGATTTGAAGACTACCTTTCCAGTTTTTATATGATTTCTCTGTACAAAGATTGGAGTTGTGAAGCTGTTAAGGTCAGAATGTGAAGGAAAATCAAGGCAAGTTGAGGATAAAAACTCTTTAGTGCTCTGAGGAAGAAAAAGTGCTGTACTGCGAAATATATCTGTAAACTATTAAAAAAAAAGAAAGAAGACTACATTTTATAACTTTTAGGACTGGAAATTGTTATTTCCTGGGATGTTTGTTAAACTCTGTAAACTCCTGATTTTTTTTTTTTTTTTTAAATTTTAACTACCTGATTTACCTTTCACTTCCCTTTATGCTTTTTGTGAATGTCTGTGATGGGATCTTCACATAATATTTTCTTGCAAAGTCTGCTAAAATTAGGCTAATTTTCACAGATTATTTTCTTTGAGCTTTTGAGACCTTTGTGTCACTATTTTGCTTCTTTCTATATAGATGCAAATGACAGTAAGTTTGGAGACTGCAAAAACACTATGACTTGCAAAAACATAAATTGCATTCCATATTAGCAGAGGGTTTAGAGACAAGAATATTTGTTTACTGAGCAAGTGATTTTATGTATCTATGAATTTGTCATTGTAAAAAATTTAAACCTTGTAATGAAAACACTTCAGGATCCAGCAACATAGTGTATGAGTAGTTTTCTGATAAAGTTCTCTAGAAGATCATGCCTTGCAATAAATCTGAAGTGACTTACAACATGCTGATAAGTATTGAGGCAGTTTCTTATATCAGGATAATATCAGGATATTCTGATATTCTGAATTGCAAGTCAGGGATGATAATGACTTTTTACTGGTCCTCTCCCAGAAAACACCAGAATTTTTTGTCTCCTGCCTAGCATACCTTTCAGTTAAAATAGTTTCTGTTTTGCTATGTGTTTGTTCTTTGTGGATAAAAACTTAAATTATGTTTTTACTTCTTTTTAATTGGTGGTTATGTAGTATACATGTGTTCCATCAATAATTTAATAATGTATTGCCTATTTTTATTGGGGTGTATGCATAATGACAAATTTGCTATGTGCTTTGCAGTGATCAGCAGCCAATATATGTGTTTTGGCATTTATATTCATTGCTTTATACAGAATGGGATTTATGTTCAGTATCACAATTTTCTTTAGATTTCTTAAAGAAACCTCGGAGTAACGCTTTCTTTTTAGCTGCTTCTTGCTTAATGACTAGATGTGACTGTTTTGCTAGGCCTTTTGAGTAGGGGGAAGAGAGAGTATGTTTTGAAAGTAGAGAACCGGGACTATTTCAGATAACCTTTGCCTTTGTCCAAACACTTATCATGATCTGTGAGAAAACCACGATGTTGCTGTTGTGATTTGTTTGGTGTTCGTGGTTTTTGCTTGTTTTGGTTTTTAATTATTTTTTCCCTGTGCTACCCAAGGTAAAGAGTGTCTGTCTGTAACTGAAAAACTTTTGTTACATCCTTCAGTTACCACACATCTCTTCAAAGGCATATCACACCAGATCTCTTTCAGAGGAAGGACTGTAGATTGTTTTGCTTTCCCCTTTGGGAATAAGTACTGAAGTGGCTTTGGTCCACAGTTTTCTAACAAGAGAAACTAAAATTTCTTGGGAGCTTTATTGTTAATTGTTCATATGGATAACAATATCGCCTTTCTATCACTCTAGATCAAACTCCTAACCTTATATACTTCCCTTAGTCTCCTCCTGCATTCTTATTGTCCTTTCATCTACATGTTTCCTCAACTTCAAGCTTCCCATTTCCCAAGCTTTTCCTGCTCCTACATTTGTAACACACAAGATACGCTACTTCCTTTGTTATGTCCAGAAAATGTGTGTATCTTTATTGTTTGCTTCTGAGCTGCATCAGTCCTTTGTCTAGCTAGTAGCTACAGCACCAGAAGAAACTTTGGAAGCAAGACCTGCTGCTGTAGCTGCAATGCAGGTACATAATAAATGTGGCTATATTTTGTCATCTATCTTTATGTTGGTCCTTGTCTTCCACTTCAGAAAAATGCACAATGTGGCATTACAGTCAGCAGTAGCATGTGTTCCCTCTCTGTGGCCTCATATTCAACCCAGGCTATAGTCTGTCTCCACAGCTCCATCCCTGTCACGTAATCTCCCATGCTTCAAGTGTGTTGGTTAAGAATGTGAGTTAGAGAACACATAATGGCAAACAAATCACAGATTAACCACCACAATTTAACCAGATTATGTGAACTGCTTGACTTTTCCAGGTCACCAAGTAAGGTGATTCTAGATTTTATTTAAATGTACTGTCTGAAATGCTAGTGTACACTGGGCTGTATGAGTATTTCAGCTGTGTTGAAAACCATTTGTCTGAGCCATCTCTCATGATTCACCTGAAAGGTTCTGTCTATTGTGAGTACTTTTTTCTGTTTAGGGAAAGTTTCTTAACAGAGGCAAAACTATGAAGCTTGTAAGTGTTAGGGTGGTGGGACTCTGTCAGCTGAAGTGAATTGAGCAGTTCCTTGAGTGTGCCATGAAGCTGGTGCTCAAGAGAGTTAGACTTGGATCCTCCACAGAAGGAGAAAGAAGGCTATGCTGGTGGGCCTGTAATCAGCACTGAAAAATTCCTATCTTTTTGTTGGATTAATTTGAGACCAGTCTTAAAGAATGGCTATCAGGTTCTCCATTTAAACATTATGTAAAGTCTGAGAATATCTTGGGAAACTGACTGCACAAAGTAAGTGGTTTCCCAGAACTGCTGCTGTTTAGACCCCTTGTGCCTGGCTTGTTTGTATTCATATAGGACTGTAAACGTTGAGGTTCTTGAGATGAGTGGTAGAAGTCTGTGCTCCCTGTGCTCTGTATAAGAGATAATACAATACTTCCTCAACTGGGAAAAACACCAGAGAAATTTTTTTTCAGCTCATTAACTCTTCACTATTGTATAGCCATACTAAAAGTAGTTTTAAACTAGAAGAGAACAATAAAAAGAATGTTACACTGATCCAGTACTTATTTCATTATGATTTGATTAGTTATAAATTAGATACATATGAAAGATGATCTAAACATTTCTGCTTCTTATCAGATATTTATAGCATCATCAATATCTAAGACCTGGACTCAATGACTTTTGGATAGGACTGTCACAGAGTCAGTCCTACTTTAAAATATTTTTAAACAAGTCCATCTTAAAAAGTCCATTGTTCTCTACTAAAGCATAAAATAAAAACGTGAAATGTTTACTTGTGTAAAATTACAGCAGTGATACTGCTGATAATGTTTTTGCTGTTTAAAGGGGAAGGGAGGAGTTCTTAAGCAGAAGAATAAAATAAAATTCATGCTCCATTTGTTATACTGAAGGAGATCATAATATGGTGGTTTCTATTGCCTTGTTTTCTACATGATAATGAAATATGCAATAAGTATTATTATTTGCCTGAACTACTATTTTTTTCCTGTTTCTGTAGGCTGAGATACTTTACAGCAATGCTTTCTGTTTAAATAAAAAAAAAAAGAACAAGCTACATCACGTTCCACATTTAAAGTAATAATTTAAAAGTTGACTTTTCCAAGGTTTAAAATGGAATAGTATGTGCAATATTACTATTTAAAGTACATAAACATAACTTCAGATCTCACTTAGCATATCATGCAAACTATTGGAAATCACTGACTTCATTGACAGTATCTGTTTACAGAGCTGAATTGCTGTATCTCGTAAGTACGTTAGAAGTATTAGAACTAAATCCTTCCCAATAGTCAAAGGAACTATTTAAGGGACATAGGAAGTATGTTATATCTGTGTTTGCTGAACTGTCTTCTTTTCCTACTTTTGCAAGGTGTGAATGTTTGGGAGCAGGAGGAGCATGTAGGTCCATCTTTCTTAATTAAGGAAACAACTAGCTTCTACAGTGCTGTATGCTTGCTTCATATTGGAGCACATTGGTTTTTGGGCAGCACACTGCAGCCAGCAGATAGCATGCTTTTCAATTTAACATGTGGTAGCTAAATGGTTCTTTGTTTCTTGAATGAGTCCAGCATTAAACATTAGGTTGAAATCTGTTGCATATGTGTATGGGAAAGTGATTTCTTACTAGGTCACCTGCACAAGATGAATCAGAATTTTCAGTTTCCCTCCACCCCCTCAATATAAATACCATATATATATATATATATATGCTTTGCAAACAGAAACTTTTGAAGTACCGAAAACTAAAATGATATGTCCAGATCTCACGCAATGGGTCGCCAGTAAACTCAGAGGTCAGGAGACAAAACTTTAAGAGTTCCTATCTTCTGATTTAATATCTACACAAAAGACAGCATTTTCTTTGGTTTTGTTGTTCATTCTTTTTGTAACCTGATGGTGAGGAGAACTTTTAGATCTTCTGACAGAAACCTAGGAACAGCAAGTAGACCTTTTTTTCCTGGCAGATCTAATTCTATTGTCCTGAGGGAAAAGGAAGAACAGATAGCTGACAATTTGTCACTTAGGCTATTTCCTTATTGCATTTTTCTCCACGTTGCATATATAATCTGTTTAGTAATTATTATTTTTTCTTGTCTTTCAATGCTTACTAAATCCTTTGCAAATGGGTCTTTAGCATAAATGAAGAGTATATCAGTAATATAGCATTTCAGATAAAGCTTGTTACCTTTAACAATTCATTTTGCTTGAGAAAAGATTATATGTGTTGTTCTATGATTTATTTTTTTTAATTTTAGGCAATTATACTTTTAACTGAACTCATCAGAGAGAACTTCAGAAATAGCAAATTGAAACAATGCCTTCTACCAGCACTTGGGGAGCTTCTTTACCTCGTAGCCAGAGAGGTAAGACTGTCAAGTGATCCTTGTAAATTTAACAAATGTGAAAAAAAATTCCCATGGAAAAGTAGACAAAAAAAGCAAATCACTTTGTCATTTGTATCCTCAACAGTTTCTTGTCCTTGTATGTTCTGTGATACTTTTTCTACTTTAAGAAACATGCTATTCCAATCATGTACTTAATCTGAGATAATTAAATTGCTTTCTTCAAGTATAGATTTTTAACTTCATAAAACAATTTAATCAATCACCATAATGACTGCTGGCCTCCAAGTGGCAGATCTGAGGGTTAGAACATCTTAGCTAGAGACTTTGATTAAATAGGATGTATCAGGACAGCCTATGATACCAATAAATTAATATACCTAGGCGATATTAGATCTTATCCTAGCATGGTTGGAATTATAACACTGTGGAAAAGGAAATGGAATGATGCTGACTAATTTGAAATGGAATTACAGTGATTCCTGACTAGAACTGATTTAAACCTTCAGTCTAGAAATAGTAGATTCACATTAAAAATAAACAGAGGTTAACTGTAAGAATTGAAGATGACAGCTCCTCTAAACTTAAAATGTTTTCTTTTACTTATTAGACACAAAGGTGACTTCAAACAGAAAAAGCCTAGCCGTAGCTTCTCTGAAGCCTTTGTATTAACTGCGTCATCTAATTGCTCTGAATGCTATCATGTTAGTTAACAGTCTGTGAGGTCACTTGAGAAAGGAATGAAAATACTAAACGGAGCTGTATTTTGGCTCTCTGTAGTTACGGCTTTGTTTTATTGTTCTCGTCCTCTAGCTCCTTTGCATGTTCCACAGGATGTAGTGGTTGCCTTTTTGTTTGTTTGTTTGTTTGTTTTGGTGAGTTAGCAAGCACCATCCTTTTTTGGTTAGACAATTGCCAAAATATTTGTCAAATACACAGAGTCACAGAACTTGTTCTTACACAGAGATATTATGTTATGGAAAATACATCCACAGTCGTAGTTTATTTTCGTACGTGTTAATACTTTCTCAGTTTTCCTTGGAGGAAAAAATTTGTACGTAGCATCATCAGACAGATTGAAAAACTATATATTTTTAACCACTAAAACCCAAATAAACTTAAAACTCCACCTTGAAAATTATATTTGGCAAGAGTATTTTGCACTGCTTGATTTTATTTTGAAATTGAACTTTAGTGGTTGAAATAAATCTGTTTACACTGGCTCTATAATAGCAAAATGATTCGCATGCACTGACCCTAATAGATTTTTTTTTTTTTCTTCTGAAAATGTCAACTGACAGATTTTTTGAGTCTATATGTATTTATGAACTTTACAATGTTTGAAGCATGATAACTTGTATTTAAATGGCAACTATCTTTCAGGAAGATCTGTAGTAATAGGTTGCATTGCTTTGAGTTATAACTAAGAAATTATTACAGAACAAGCAGAAATATTTGGAATTACAGTACCTTGAATTCATGTGTACAGTGTCTTGGTAAAACTTCAAAAGTATCAGTGTGTTTTGTGTGCGCTTTTTTTTTTTTTTTTTTTTTAAGAAAAGCCCTTTATAAAGCTTTTCTTTTATCTGTTCTGTACCTACTTAACTTCAGAATACTGTAGTGTTGTAGGCATTTTGTTGCTCATTGAACTGCAGAACAGTAGTACTGAATGACCTTGCCAAGATCACATACCAAGTCAGTGGTAGTATAATAAGATGAAACAAAGTTTATTCCCAATTTATATCACTAAACAGCAAAGCTTCATGCCTTGACTAATTTAAGGAAAAAAAAAATCATAACTATATCTAATTCATTAAGAACTGTACACAAAATATTTTTATTTTTCTTTTTTCCTTGTTTTCTTCCATTTTGCTGTGCAGCCTGCTTGATTGTTTTATCAAGCTGCTAAATATTTATCATTTATACTGTAAGTTTTGGGGGGCATGCTGATTTTATTTATTGATTCCCTCCAGGGTTTTGCTAAGTGTTTCTAGGTCCAACTGCAATATTTATGTTCAATAATGATAAAGATTATTTCTTTTTCATATGAACATTTGGTAAATCATAAATTATCAAACTCTTACGATCAAGTTCAGCTATCTAGGTACAGCATGATTCATTAGGTTAAATACAGGATCACTGGTTGCACTTCTGTGGCTTAGAAAATACTGGGAAAAAGTCCAGATAATCATAATGGTCTTCTGCAATCCTAAACTCTGATATTATATGTGTACTTGCATAGGAGATCTCATAAGTAAGATCTTACGCTCCACCTCTGCATTTTTTTTCCAAACAGAAGCCAAGAGCAATTCACAAGTAGCATGAGCAGACCCCAGGGAGGATGTTCTGTTACTCTTGAGCTAATTGCCTTGAGGGAAAACTTTCAAGTTCTATGTAGTATTTCTATTCATTTTGTGCTGTTTGTGTTGTTAGGGTGCAGAACCTAAAGTTTAATCAAAATCAACATAGGCTGTGAGCAAAAAGTAGGAAGATTACCCAGTGTTTGATGATATATTTACATTTATTAAATGTTAAATTGTGTAGGTGTGTTTAGGTAATTAACAGCGGTGCTAAGTTGCATACGCCTTTTGCCTTTTTTTATTTCTAACTAGAGAATAAACCTTGCAGAAAGTCATTAATCAGTCTGAAGAATGGAAGAACTATTAATTTTCAGGACTGCACCATTTCTTAAGGCTTTTTATTTTATAGTGCATTTAATATGTATGGTTACAGGAGAACTTGATGGAATTTCTGACTAAATTAGATGAATAAAATGAGAAACAGATCAATGCCAGTTCCAGCATAGCTTGTCAGTTTAACTCTGTCTTGATTTCTAGTCTTGTCATGCCTTTTCCAGGTGGAGAAGATTCCACTTTTCACTGTTAGAAAGTAACCTACCATCCTTTGAAACTTGGGCTGCATTTTCTTAAACTTACACGCTAAGCCTTGGAAGGCAAACTGTGATTAAATGTCAACATGTAGTTACTCAGATACGATGAAGGAGGTGGAATGTGGTAGATCTGATGTCTTTGTCGGATGTCAAACCACTCATTATTATTATTATCTGTAAATTACTTCCAAGGAAAATTGTTCCATATCTCCTAACAGAAAGTTAGCAGAAATAAAGCTTAAAAAAATGGGAGATTTAACAAACTAATTTTCTCTTTTGATATATGTTGCAAATAAAGTTTTGATTTATTTTCAATAAAGAAGGAAAATGAATTTTACTAGGCAATTCATTAATAGTCTTCCCTGCTAATGTGCCATGCTTTAATTAAGTGCCTGACATTATCTCATCATATATGTTGAATTAGTGTAGGCCTCTCAGAAATCAGAAAGTTTAGAAAGTATAATTTGATTCTGCATTGTTAACCCCCACCTTGCCTATCCTATGCTTTTTATTATAAACAGTTAATTAGAATGCTAAAAATAATTTGCTACTATAGTCAGTAGAGTTCAAGAAATATATGATTCATGAAGAAATTGTTGCTTATCATCCTTTGTCTACTTATTAAGACAATCTACACATTGATTTCATCTTCACACCATCCAATGCCTATTATTTCTCACTTCCTTTCCCAAAAGAGGGTATTTTTTTCAGTTGCTAATATCTTTGTGTTACTAGCCTAGATATGGAGGTTGTTTTAGTTAAATCTTAATGATATCCAAGTGTCCTCTTTTAAACTTGAAGTTTTACAGGAAGCTAGTTTGGGGGCGGGGGACAGGGGGAAGTGGAGTTCATTAACTTCTAACAGAAGAATTAAACCTGTGATTCAACTGGGAGTGAATTAGCCTCTCTAACAGGGTGATTTCAAGGAAATATACATAAAGATCTTGGAACAGTGTTGATATGTACTGCAGGCTATACCATACAGTAAGTTTTATTAAACACTTTGTATCTCCTTGTATGACTTTGAATACTTTTTTTCCAAAGTAAGTTTGCCAGACAAAAGTAATTTTGTTTGGTATAATTAAATCACATTTAAAGAGAAGCATTACTACTCTTAATAATCAGTTGTTTCTTTCTGAAGTAATCAAAATGATTGAGAGGTTTGCAAGAATTTCTGTGTGTGTGTGTGTGTGTGAATTAGAAGGAATCGGTGAAACCCAGAAATAATAGGACAAATTCTGTTATGGATTTTGGAGACTATTTAAATAAGCTAATAAAATATAAATTTCTGTGCTGCACATGAAATAACTTTAAATAGTAATACTGCCCTGGAATTTAATATATTTTCTAGCATATGTTAATTTGAAATGAGTATAATATGAACCTTATTAAGAATCTGTTACCCATTTTTTATGTGCCTGAGATTACTGTGATTTTTTTGATTTAATCATTTGTGCCGTTGGCTTCATTTCAGGAGGAAAAAAGGGAGCACCCCAGAGAATGCTGGGTTGTTCCCTCGGCTGCTTACACTGTGCTAATGAGGTGTCTTCGGGAAGGGGTAAGGCTCTTGCGTTGTCCTCAATAGAATTTCTCCACTGTAATAACCCTTTAGGCATTGTGTGAGGATTGTAGCCTGCAGCACTGCAATACCTTGTCAACCAAGTATTGCTCTTGAATTTAAATAATCATGATAAGATCATGACCTAAGCAGATTAATGCAAAAATGCAGTGTTGTTCTCTGTACATTCAACATTTATGTATTGCTGCTTGGTTTTTTTTGGAAATGGGATAGTAAATATGAATTACTGTTAATCAATCTGGAATTTATTAATGCTGGGGCTTTCTTTTGAGAAATGTTCTGACAGCTTGTACTGTCCTCCTTTAATTTGATTTTCGTACATCTTTAGTAAGTTTTTGAGCAAGATTTACTTTCTATTTTGAAGTGGCTGATACACAGTATTTGAAAACTGCATTGTTATCCTACTGGGTTGTCAGCATTCTTTTGAGGCCAAAAAGTAGTAATTAGTTTTATTCTCATACATGTGCTGTGCTGTATTCTTCATTTTTCTTGGTGATGACTTAACTGTGTTAGAGAAGGGAAGAAAAACATGCATATAGTTCCAATTTGTAAAATTAAAGAGAATTGGGTAGAGGGTTTACAATTGCTATTTGTATGAGACCACTTGATGTTATTTTTGCCTAAGGCAAAGCTCAAGGCAGAAGACATGTTGGAGGTTGCTGGAGGGGGGAAAGCAAGAGAAATACCTTTTTTCTTCTTTTTTTTTGAGATCTTTATTGCCTACAGATTGTGATTAATAGAGGAAGAATCTAGATGCATTTTAACATCTTCAAACCTTCAGGTGATCAAGAACACACAACTGTGTGTGTATTGTGGACTATTTCCAGCTCATAATTAGAGTAAGATGTCATTCTAAGGCACATTAATGAGAAGCTATTTAATTATAAATTTAGTAATGGAAGACTTGCTATTTCTGAATATTCAGTGTAGAGAAACTGAATTGAGAGATCCATAAGACAGTAATTTATTCCTATAGAACAAAATAACTTCTTAGTCCTGAAACATGTCAAATTTTTCTTAATAATTTGTCTTGATATATTTTTCTTGAAAAAACAACACAAAATAGAAATACATTTCCCATGCAATAGTTTGAATTAAATTTAATTAAGCATAAATTTAAAGTTATGTCTAGGCTAACCAAGTGCAGCTGTGCATTTCTACAGTTTCTGTTTGTGAAGATGCTTGAGGTGTTTAATGGAGTTTTAAGTATTTGTGCTTGTTTGTGTGAGTACAGTGCAAATGTACTAACACAAATTGCTCTGCCTCAGCTGCAGCAGCCTCAACTTTCCAGAACAGCACCATCTGAACAAGCAAAATTATCCATAACTATGTAAAGTACTTCACAACATATGGAAATGGAGAGCAAAACTTACCACCCACTATTATTAACTTTTACAATTTCTTTTGCTACCTTTTTCCTCTGCTCTTATAGCAGTCCTTTTCTTATCCTCCATAACTTTAGCAGCCACCCATCTTTCTTGGAAAATGATGTTGCAGCATCTAAAACTAGATGGTTAAAATCATATTATTGTTAGACATCTGTTTGCAAGAGATTTTCTTTTTTAAGGAAGGAATAATCAGTTATAAAATAAGGTTTTGTGCCACATGTTTTTGATGCAGGAGTGGAGGAGGAATGAACAAAGATGGAAAAACAGAGAAAGATTTTTAAAGTATTCAATTCAATTTATGGTTTCACTTTTGCATATTTGTTTCAAAACTTGTAAGAGTAGGACTACCGAAGTAGATGTATCCAGGATGATAGTATGTCAGTCTCTTCAGTGTATCACATTATTTAGTGAAAAAGTAGATCTCTCAATCATTAGCAGCAAAAGTTACACAAAAAATGTACTTAATGAATTTTTATGAAAACATCTGTGCAGTGCCATCAGACTGACTTAAAATATAACCACGTCTTAAGAGATTTTTTTTTTTTAAACATGTTTGAAGCTGTAAAACTGTAGAATACTTTAGGATGGAATGGACCTCTGGAAGTCATCTAATCCAGCCTCCTGCTCAAAGCAGGTCTAAATAGATCAGATTGCTTAGGGACATATCTGTTTGACTCTTGGATGTCTCTAAGAATGGTGATCCCACAATCTCTCTGGGCAATGCCTGGACCACCCTCACAGGAATGAAGTTTTTCCTTGTATGTGATTGGAGTTTCCCATGTTACAACTTGTGGCCATTGCCTCTTGTCCTATGGCCATGCATCTCTGAGAACATTTGTCTCAACTTCTCTTTATCCTTTGCTCAGGTAGCTGTAGGCAGCAGTAAGATCTTCCCTGAACCTTCTTTTGTCAAGGCTGAACAGCTCTCAGCCTTTCGTTGTATGTCGTGTGCTCCAGCCCTCTAACCAACCTGATTCCTTTCTATGATGGAGACATGAGTGGTGCTGTGGACAAGGGGAGGGCAGTGGATGTTGTATGCCTTGACTTTAGGAAGGCCTTTGACACACTCTCCCATACTCCCCTTATCACCAAATTGGTGAGATATGGACTGATTAAATGGAAGATAAAGTGGGCAGGAAAATTCACTCAAGTGATCAGTGGTGCAAAGTCCAGCTGGCAGCCAATAACTAGCAGTGCCCCTCAGAGATCAGTACTGTTTAATGTCTTCAGTAATGACCAGAGTGACCAACTGGGGTGTATTCTCCAGTTGGATAACACCAAACTGGCAGGGGGAGCAGCATCAGTATGCTGGATGTCAGGGTTGTTAGTCAGAAGGACTAGGACGGACTGGAGAAATGGGCTGACAGGGACCTCATGAAGGTCAACAAAAGTGAGAGCAAGGGCTTGCTCCTGAGATGGAATAGCCCCCTGCAACAGTACAAGCTTCCTAGGAAGCAGCTCTGCCGAAAGGGACTTGGGGGTACCAATGAAAAGTTGAACATGAGCCAGCAGTGTGCCTTAGCAGAAAAGAAGGGCCATGGCAACATGGGCTGTATTAGCAAGAGAGTAGCCAGCAGGTTCAGGGAAGTGATTCTTCCCTGCTGTTCAGCACTAATGAAACCATATCTGGAGTACTGTGTTCGGTTTTGAGCTCCCCAGTAGAAGAAAGATCTTGACATTCAAGAGTGAGTCCAGCAGAGTGCTACCAAGATGATAACTGGAAGAAAAATTCCTATGTTCAGAATTGCTTCTTAATTCATTGCCAGATATGTTATGTTAAAGAACATGTTTAATATTTTCTAGTTACATTCGTATAGTCTTTTTCACAGAGAACAAAGCACAAACTATGGTCACATGTAAAGAAAATTAATATCTAGTGTCTTCCACCTTTTTCTTTGTAAGGGGAAGCAAATCATAAGAAAAAATCAGTTTGGACCTTTGGAGGTTTTGTGGTCCAGCCTCCTGTCAAAACAATGCCAGCTTCTAGTTGCATTCAACATCAAAGTTATATTAGGTTGCTCAGGGCTTTATCTACTTAGGCTTTAAGTAACTCCAGGGATGGTTCTTCTGTAAAGTCTGTGCCTATTTCAGTGTGAGACTGCTATCACTGTGAAGAAAATTTTTTACATATATCTAATAGGGATTTCTCTTGCTACAACTTGTGTCCATTTCCTCCTGACCTTTCATTGGAAGAGTCTTGTGCCATCTTCTCTATAATGATCTGTGAGGTGTTGGAAAACACCCACTATATCCTTAGATGTCTTTTCTTTGGGCTGGACAAACTTAGCTCTCTTAGCCTGTCCTTAATCATCATGTGCTTCTGGCCCTCAGTCATCTTGGTGGCCCTCCTCTGGACTAAATGCCATATGTCAAGTCCACCTTACAATGGGGAACTAAACTGGGACACAGTAGGCCAGAAAGTCTCATGTTTTGGAATACAAGTGAAAAAACACCTTTCTCAGCCAGCTGGCAGCACTGATATGTATGCAGCCCAGTATGCAGTTAACCTTTGTTGCCACAAGGGAACACTGCTGATTCACATTGAAATTGTTCTGTTGACGCTCCAGGTCCTTCTCTGCCCCACTGCTTTATGGGAGTTATTCCACCCTGGGTGTAAGACTTTGCATTTCACTGCCCATTCCTACAGCTTAAAATCCTTCTGTGTGCTGGTCTAACCTTCCATTGATTCAACCACTCGCTCTGAGCTTGTGTCATCTGTGAACATGCTATGATTAACAGCTTTGGCCCCAATATTGACCCTTGAGAGCTCCAGCTGAACTTTGTACTGCTGATCACAACCCTTTGGGTCTGGTGGTCCAACCAGCTTTCTAGGTACCTTGTAGTCCACTTAAGTCCAGGTCTTTGCTATTTGGTTAGGTATAGGAAACCATCTGGAGAGCCTTGTTAAAGTTGAAATAAATTAAACCCACTGCTCTCTGTTAGTCCACTGAGCTGGTCATCTTGTAATTGAAGCTTGTCACATTGATCAGGTGCGGTTCGCTCTTGAGAAATCTATTTTGTTACCAGTCTTCTTGCCCTTCATGTGCCTGCAAATAGTTTCCAGGAAAATTTGCTCAGTAATTTTTCCAGGGACAGAGTTAGGGATCCCTCTTCTTGCCCTTTGGAAGGTGGGCATGCACTTTGCCCCCTGCCCTCGGTCAACAGGAGTATCTCTTGATAACCACAAAGTTTTGAAGATGTGTGCTCCCTCACAACAATGCTGACTGGCTTCCTCAGCACATTTGGCTGCATCCTTTCTGATTCAATGGACTTAGCACGTCCAGTTTGCTTAAGTGTCCCCTACCTTTGCCTTCCTGTCCTGTAGGTATACTTCGCTCCCCCAGATTTTGCCATTTGGCACATGGGCCTGGAGGACCTGAGAGCAGTAAGGATTACAGCAGAGAAGGCACTGACCTCCTGAGCCTCTTCTATGTCGTTTGGCCCTAGCTCATTCAGCTGCGAACTCAATTTTCCTTAGTCTTATTTTTGTTACTGATGTACCAATAGAAACCCTTCTTGCTGCTTTTCGAACCTCTCCAGTTTTCAAATTAGCGCTCTTTTCTGCTAACCTAAAACATGGGCTCTAATGTG